TGTGTGCGCGTGCGTGCGTGCGTGCGTGTGTGTGTGTGTGTGTGTGTGTGTGTGTGTGTGTGTGTGTGTGTCTGTGTGCGCGTGCAGGCCACGCGGTGCAAGCTGTGTCGCGGACTAGCCGGTGACGCGCGGACTTCCGTGTCGCGCAAACACATGCGCGTCAGCGCTGATTGAACGAGCGCGGTGTGTGCACGCATAATGGGCTAATGCATTATTAGTTGGCAATTTTATGAATTATGTGCGAAGCAACTGTGTAATGCGTGTCAATTCGGGGTGTAGGCACCGCTCCCCCGCGGCGTAATGCGAGGCACCGATATCGACGTTCTGTGTAGCAGCGACGACGACACACGTAAATAAATTCGATGGAACACGCGGTGCTTATTGCCCATTTGCACGTTTACTTCATGAATGCATGATCACGCGATCGGTGTGCGCTATAGCAGGAAGCGGCGCGGCGACGAAATTTGCGTATAAAATAGATATTCGCGATGGCTTCAAAATGCCGTCGTGATAATATATAGGCGGCTGTTTGAGGAGCACAATGCAGTAAGCAGCAGCAGCAGCAGCAGCAGCAGCAGCAGCCTTGGCTGGATTAAGCGTTCCGCGTGTCAGCGTAGTAGTTGCGTATTGATCAGCAAACACTCGCTGTCAGCTGTGCCGCAACTAGCTAGCACTGCTTTGCTGAAACCCTGATGCACCCCCACACACACGCACGCGCGCACACGCACACACGCACGCGCGCGCACACACGCGCACACGCACACACACACACACACACACACACACACACACACACACACACACACACACACACACACACACACACACACACACACACACACACACNATGTTCCATACATACTTGGGGTCTAAATACAATATTATCGCCGTTATTTACAAAAAAAGTGTATTTTCTGGTGGCCATTTTGGATTTTGTGCTCTAGAAAAAAATGCTCAACACTTACGAACTGGCATACATCGGATTTGGAATCATCACATAAACATTGACAGGAAACAAAAAAAAACATTATATATGTTGAAAAACAAGCACATGTGCCCTCTAGCTCGGACTATATATGCGTTCCCGCTTAATAGATCACACATTTACTCTCACGGTAGGGGATTCTAAATTCAAATTGTATTTTTCCGCTAAATAACACACATTTAATCTCACGGTAGGCGATTCTAAATTTAAACTGACTTTACGCACGGAATAACGCATGCACAGTGTGTTCATTTTTGGATTTCAAACAATTTCTACGACTCTCTCAACACTTTATATATATATTGTTCGGAAATTCAGAAACTCGAAACACACATTTAATCCCACGGTAGGCGATTCTAAATTTAAACTGACTTTACGCACGGAATAACGCATGCACAGTGTGTTCATTTTTGAACTTCAAACAATTTCTACGACTCTCAACACTTTATATATATATTGTTCGGAAATTCAGAAACTCGAAAACTCGGAAACTCAAAAAGTTGCATGTCGTCTCAGGTCTTCCATAGGGGAGGATTAACAGCCTTCTTTTGAACGTTTGGCCGTAAAATTCGGCACTAGAGTGCACTAAGCCAGTTCGTAGTTTCAGTCTGCACATGCGCGAACTTAGTCACGAATTCTTCCGGGTCATATATTGTGACAAAATATTTCGTATTTCGACGGTCCATATACGCATGCACCTATGTCGTTATAATGCTATACATGCAGTCAGTCTTCGCGTGTGCACGTACACGTGCGTGCGTGCGTGTGTGCACGTACACGTGCGTGCGTGCGTGTTCACGTACACGTGCGTGCGTGCGCACGTACACGTTCGTGCGTGCGTGCGTGCGTGTGCACATACACGTACGTGCGTGCGTGCGCACGTACACGTGCTTGCGTGCGTGTGCACGTAGACGTGCGTGCGTGCGTGCGTGCGTGCGTACGTGTGCACGTACAAGTGCGTGCGTGCGTGCGTACGTGTGCACGTACACGTGCC